AGGCGGGGAGCGCGGCCGGCGCCGCTCGCAGCCGAGGTGACCCCGGCCGGAGCTTTTTGCGCTGCTGCGGAGGAGCCGGGAGTGGATTCATCCCCGAAGGAGCAGCCGCGGATGCCCCGGAGTTGTGTTGGATGTTGTGGCACGGAGCGGTGACGCTGTTGGGGGAATTAATTGGGAGGCAGGAGAGAAGTAGAAGGGGACGGTGTCGGTAGGAATTGTCCGGTGTTGTTGTGTCCCCCGGTATTCCCGAGGGTAGCCTGTGCTCTTGGGGTTGCTTCGGATGTTGTAGGCAAAGCTTGGCTCTATGCAAATTCGGCGAAAGAAAAGGAAAACACTTCCCCGGGCTACGGTATCGTTTCGTCCTTAAAACTGAAGATTTGATAGAGATTGAGGAAAACGTCCCTAACTTTTTCAGCAGGAATAAAAACCTCTCCCTAGAGACGCGGAGAGCTGCCCTGCTTTGGGGCTGGAGGTGCTGTGGGATGTCCTTTGCTGGGGCAGAGGGATGGTGCAGTACAGGCTGAATCCGTGATGGGTTCCAGGGAAAGGGAAGAAGATGATTTTGTTCCATTAGAAGCGTTCAAGTTCGTTGCAGTTTGTCTTTATGTAACGATTTTGAGGTTTTGTCCCTTAGTTTCCCATCCGTGCTGTGATTGGCAGTTTCATTGATGTGCAGTTATTTTTGTCATAACCTGTGTAAGAAATGGTATAAATAGAAAAATCCGGGTAAATCGAGCTGATACCGAAGCAGATGATGCTGAGCATCTCACCGCGTTCATTTTGTGGAGAGCTTTAAAATTCCTTTCTGCTCGTTCTGGAAAGGATTCTCTGCAGTGCAAGGTTTGATCTCGGGCTGTGGTGCTGCAGAAGCCGAAATGAAGCGTGTGGTAAACACACAACTTCCCCACATCAGTAGCTGGGGAGCTGCAGGGTGAGGTCCAGGATCTGCCTCTGGATTTCAGCGTGTGCCTGGGTTTGTGCCGTGGTTCCCCAGGATTCCTCGACAGCTCTGGTTATCTTTGATCTTGACTTGTTCTCCCTTCACCTGAAGGTTCAGGTGTTGCATTTCCAGCCTTTGAACATCCCCACCTATGAACTAACATAAGCTGAAGTTTATTTTCCTTTAGCTTCATTTCCTATGGAAGCCGCACTGACTTCCAACCACCCGTTTTGTTAGGAAAATACAATCTCTTCGTTCTGCTGTGGTTTTAAGGAGGTTTGAGCGTTATTTGATTCACTTTGGGACACCCAAAGCTGAGATGTTTTTGGCACAGCTGTTAATCCCAGTCAGACAGCTCAGCGTGGGGGATAATTTGTGTGTCACTAAACTGGGTGACAGAGCCTTAAGGCAGGAAGCCTCTGATGTGCTGTTCCACACCTTTCACACCTCTTCACTGAGAAATCCCCAAAGTTTTAATGTTAAAGGTGACACTGAGGGGTTTTTTTTAAGTTGAAATACCCAGTGAAGAAAGACAGTGTCTTGTGGCTCAAACTGGATTTCATGCAACAATGTTTATTTTGGTGAGTGTGGAAAGGCTGCCTTGTGAGAGTTTTGCTGTGGATGGGCTCAGGAGCCCAATTAACTCTGCTTTAAATATCCACCTGGCCACGGGAGCAAATGTGGAAGCTGTTGAATATAAATCTGTAAATCAGAATAGATGCACAGTTTGTGCTGAGGATTGCCAAGGGTCACCTCTCAGTAAAAGAGTTCTGGCTCATAATGGGAACGACAGATTTGATGAGGAAAATGTGTGTGATGTAATTGCAGTTAACTGAGGAAAGAGGCCAGAGCAGTGTGAGCAGCCCCTTCCTCCCCTTGGCACGTGAGGGGCAGCAGAGCTGGGTTTGGTGAGGAGGGAGGAATTTTTGAAGGAAGTGGAACACGTAGGGATCATGTCCTGGTCTAAAACTGCTTGTTTGTAATCGTGTAATAACATAAAGATCAATTTGAAAATTGTGATTTTGAGCTAAAAAGGGAGAAAAGGGTCTGGAGATGGGTTTTCTGCAGCTGAAGTTTCATTGGATAGTGGGATATCCCCCTAGGAAATATTGATGCTTCACAGTTCTGTCTTCAAAACCAGTCTGGTGGCAGGGTCAAGGTACTCCAGGGGGACAGGTTTGCTCTGCTCGGGGTATGGATGGTGTGGACAGGTGTTTCCCACTTTGCTGGAGTGTGTGTTTGGTTTCTAACCTCCTGCCTGTTAGAAGTCCTTTAAATTCTCCCAAAGACACACCAAATTAATTTCTACTTTTCCTGCTAAAGCACTGGAGCTGCACTGCCAGCAAAGAGCTGTTGCTGCAGAATCCTCTCTATTATGGGTCTCTTTTGTTGCTGTAATGATCTGTGTGGAGTAATTACAAAAGCTTGTTTGTTTGAATGACTAAAACCAGTACAACGAGATGAATCCCTGATCCCTGAAATGACAGTTTCCTGAATGTTTGGCTTAGGAGGAGCTGCACAGGGAAAATGTGGTTTGTGCTGCTGGTGTGACAGCAGATGCTCCTTGGTGAAATTGGAGGTGCCTTTCCAGCATGGCCTTGGTGTTCTGGTGTGATTTTGTGTGTGCTCTTCCTCTGCAGATTATCTCGATAATGGCAATAATAAAATGGCAATCCAGCAAGCAGATAAACTGCTCAAAAAGCACAAGGACCTTCACTGTGCCAAGGTGAGTGGGACTGGGGGGCACCGAGTCTCAGGGTGTTCCACTGCCCCTTTCTCTGGGAGCTTCCACAGTGATTTCTGAGCCCTCTGGAATATCTCTGCTCCAGCTCACCTGTGTCTTGTTTGCCCAAAAACTTGTACAGACGCCCTGGTAAGGATGGGAGTGTTGGTTCTACCTGGGCTGATTGTCAGCACCACTCCAGGTGACCTTGGCACATGGGCTGGACTTTAGAAATGCCTCGTGGAGCCCTGGGGTTGGGATCAGAACATCTCCTTGGGAGGAAATGTCTGAGGAAAACATTACGAGGTGAACAGGTTCCCCAGAGAAGCTGTGGATGCCCCATCCCTGGAATTGTTTGTGGCCAGTTTGGAGCAGCTTGGTCCATGGGAGATGTCCCTGCCTGGGGCAGGGTGTGGAGCTGGATGATTTTATGGTCCCTTCTTACCCAAAGCATTCCATGATCTTGGAGGCATTTGCTCTTCTGCTTGTTCACCACCTTCCTTGCTGTGCCCCTGTTGAGGGAAGGGAGGTCTGTTCCTTTCCCAAATGTGTGACTCTCTTTCTGCTTTTCTCATTTCCCTGGGGGTTTCCATCTGCATTTCACTCCACTTCTACATTTTGAAAGCTTCCCAAACTGCAGCAAGTGTCATTGACCTGAATCTTGTTTCTGTCACTTCTCTCTGGCCAGTCAGTGAAAGAAAACTAAGGAAAATTGGCAGCACAGGTCCGTTTGCAGCCTGCAGGTAGAGAAAACCATGTGGTGATGCCTTGGGGCAACCTCAACATTTATTAAGAAGTCAGATCCCCTCTTTGATGCTGTTGCATTTGGGAGTTTTCCTCTCCAGCCACATGAATTAAATGCTTAATAAAACCTGGAGTTCTGCAGAGGGGATGAGGTGGTTCCCAGCAGGAGTGAGAGGGTTTCCAGATGCAGATTGTCTCTGAGAGCTGCCTGTGTTGTGTCCACAGGTGCTGAAGGCCATTGGCTTGCAGAGGACTGGCAAGCAGGATGAAGCCTATGCCCTGGCACAAGAAGTAGCAGCACTTGAGCCCACAGATGATAATTCCTTGCAAGCACTGACCATTCTCTACCGGGAAATGCACAGACGTGAGTTTGTTCCTCTCCCAAAAATCTGTTTGTGTTCTTCCAGAAGGTTTGTGCCCCACAGTTTGGTGGGAAACATGTAAAATCCAGGATTTGTGTATGTGAGAGGCTGTTAAGAGGCTCAGAATTGAAGTGATGGCTGTTGTAGTGATGTAGTGATCTTCATAAAGCAAAAAAAAATCATCATTCAGGCTTCTTACAAACACAATTGTATAGCAGGTCCTAAATGAAGTGTGTTGGTAATGATCCAGCAGCCTGAGTGTTCACTTTTGTTAATGAAACTACTGGAATTTGTTGTCAGCAGAGTGACAGAGATGACAAATCCCACAGGGTGAGGGGTTCAGGCCTCAGGAAACTGGTGAAGAGCAGGAGGGAGATCTTGACCTCCCAGTTTGGCCACATCAGCTTTGTCAGGTTCCTCGTAGTGATTTGTATTTTCAAAATACTGAATCATCAGTGATGGAGGAAGGTTTCCTGTGCTTTTCAGAAAGATGCCAGACCTCCTATCCTGCTTTTCTGCAGCTTGAACAGTTGTTGTTTCTGGGGCTTCTTGGGGAGTGTGGTGTGGTGGAACCAATGTTTATTGTGGAGCATGGTGGGTGGTACCACCAAAATTTACTGCTGGAGAAACGATCAAGGGGTGGAACAGCTTCAGAAAAGGCTGTTTGCATCCATCTGCAAAAGAGCAATTGCTTATGTTCTCCCAGTTGATTTCTTTGTGTGTGTTTGTGGAGTTAAAGCATCATTTGTTGAGGAAAACCAACATTTTTTGTGTATTTTTGAGTTCAGCATAAACCCCTGTGAATGACAAGATTGTTAACAATTAATTAATTGTTCCATTAAGCTGAGCTTTGCACCTTTCAGGTTTGTAACTCAGGATCTGGCACGTGTGAGGCTCTTCCACTTTTGGTCCTGCAAGAAAATTGTAATTAGATGTTTTCTGTATCTGTGTCAGGGATGCATAAACTGTGTGAAAGGCAACTGACATTTGCTTTTCTATTTCTGAGCTACAATTTTTTGTATAAGAAAAAAGAATATGGAAGGAATTTTATATGAATTAATATGAAAATGTGAGAAAGTTTTGCATATTGTCCTATCAGAAGTATTTTGTCATGATAGACCTGTTATTAAAAAGTATAGTGTGTAATAATTGTTCAGAATACTGATACAGGCAATTGGGAAATAGCAGGATATGATTAATATGAGTAAACCTGTGATAAGAATAATTAATTTGCTGTTTGGCTCAGAAAGTGTTTGATACATAATTCACATGGAGAAGTCATTCTGCCAACAGGAGAAACCCTCATTCATTTTGATGCTCAAAAATAGACAAACTTACTTTAAAAGTAGACCTAAAATTCTCCTGAACAGTTCAGTTGCTGCTGTTGAACTCTAGTTTGATTTAATCTGTTTTGAGGTTTGTTTGGAGTTTTTTAAGCACTTTCCTCCTTTGCCTGATGTTTGCAGTGCCTGGGGGACAGAGCAACATTTTTGGGGGCTGATGGGTGCAATTAGTTGCTGTTCAGAGCATCCCTGGTGCTCTTTAAGGAGCTGTGCTTTAAAATGGTCCCAGATTGGTCTTAACTCTAGCATCTGGTTTTGGTTTAGCCGAGCTGGTGACTAAACTTTATGAGGCAGCTGTGAAGAAGGTCCCCAACAGTGAAGAGTATCACTCCCACCTCTTCATGGCCTATGCCAGGGTTGGAGAGTACAAGAAGATGCAACAGGTATGACCAACAATTTGTGTTCTGGCTAAATGTATTTAAATTAAAATGTATTTTTCTCTTTTACTCTCATTTACCTGTTATGAGTAATCCTCCAAAAAAGCTGAGCTGGGTTAATGCAGAAGTTAAACTCTTGGTAGGTTTTTATGGAGAGGTTTAAACCTCATTTTTTTGGAGGTGGGTTGTCTAAAGACAAAAATTTTGTTTGCTTAAAGCTGTGTCTTTGACTCCTCTGTGGTTTTGTACTGACGGTACAAAATAAAGGAATTCTGGAACAGACACATCTAGGAGGAGCTTCTGATCCATATTTTCACACTTGATTCTGACCTTAGTTCTCTGTTAGCCTTAGGAAGATAAATCCTCCCCGTGCTTTTACGTGAGCATCTGAAATACAACTTGTATTGGTGTCATTCCATGAAGGAAAACTAAAAAGCTCTTGAAATATCCCCTCTCAGTTGGCAGCACAGTGTCACACTGGTTGGTTTTGTTTTCATCCCTTCTAAATGAGGTGCCTGGAGAATGCCTGTAAATGGAAGATGATTTTCAAGGCCTGCATGCTCACTCTTGTGTGTAAAAAAGCACAGAGAGCCAAGAAATAAGTGCTGAACTCCCTCTTGCTCATGCTGTGACTTGAATTTTTGCACAGGTCTGGCTTAAATAAGGAGTTACTGGTGTATCTGAAATGAGAAACCTCATGATACAGCCCAAACTTCAGATGTGACAGATCACAGTCATGAGTGGAGAAAATGCCACAGATAATAATAATAATTAACATTTATGTGACCTTTTGTATGTCTGAAGTGACATAAAAATGTGGATCTCATTAAATGATCATTTTCAATATCAATTGAATCCAGATCATCACATCAATATCACATTGTCAGAGTGGGATCTTGTCCTGAGCTTTTGGATTCTGGGAGATGCGAGGAGTGTGTGGATGGTGTCTGATTAGGGAATGAAAATAACCCCCAGTGTCCTGTGCTCTGGGGTATTCCAGCTGAAAATCCTGGAAAATGCCAGCTGCAGTCAGGGAATTGGCACAAAAGTCCAGCTGTGGTTATGGACTGTTATGTGTAGTTTCTGGAAATTTTGTGGGTGTAAAAGTCCTTTGCTGATATACAGGCACTGTGAGGGAAATATGGGAATAGCTGTTAATGAGATTGGGAAAATTGTGAATTCTTGGGGCTCTGCTTTGGTTCAACCAAGTTCTCTGCTCAACCTTTGCTCCCCCTGCTTTGCACGTGGAGGTACCCCCAAATTTGGGGTCTCAGTGGGTGTGAAGAGTTTGCTGTGTCCTTCAGCACTGGATATCCCCCAATTCCCAAATAAAAATCTGCTTCCTCCTGGAGTTACCACTTCCAGCTAAAGCTGTCATCTGTGTAGGCAATCAGCACTCGCTGCTGTTCCTTGTCAGACCCACACAAAGTCCCTGGAAACATTTCCACCCTCTGTTTTCCTCAGGGATGTGCTTCAGGAGGGAAGAGCTCGCGGGTGGGGAAAGGTCCTCCCATGTGCAAATCCCGTGTTGTCCACTGCCCTTCACGAGATCTTAGAAATAAATCTATTTCAGCAATGGTGAAACTTGTGTCTTCTGTTTTTCAGGCTGGAATGGCACTTTATAAGATTGTTCCCAAAAATCCGTATTATTTTTGGTCCGTGATGAGCCTGATCATGCAGGTGTGTGCAGTGTTGGCTTGCTGCAGTGCCAGTGCTGCTGCAGAAATGTTCTGAGGGAAAACATGATGGTTTTGGGTAAAATCTGTGTTTGAGCTGTTTCTTTGTGATGCTGGGAGAAAGACTGAGCCCTTCTTAGGCAGCATTATTGTTGTGGTCAAAAAATAAATGCTGAGGTGTGTTTATAATCCAATTTAACTGTTGCCTTACAGCTTTTATACAACTTGAATTATTCTCTGATCTGCACTAATATCCACCTGTTGTTTTGGCATAGATAATTAATAAATCCTCAACTCTCTGCAGTTTCTCAGTCAGAATTGTGCCTCTCTAATGAGGTTATAAAAGCTCTTGGAGGGAATAAATGAGAGCTCTGGAATTAGCAGCAAGTCTGCAGGAATAGGCACAGATCAGCTGTGCTGCTGCTGGTTGAGGCAGCACATTTGGGCACTAATCACACACAAAATCAAACAAAAATAAGCTTGGAGGGTTTTAATCACATTCTCTAAAATCCTGTGCTGTTTAAAACACCAAAGTGTTCTGGCTCCATGTTTTTACCACAAGGTTTGTGGGCTCAGAGGTGCAAGGCTCTATTTGAGCTGATTAAAAATGAGATTTTTTTGTGCAACACCAATTTTATTGCTGTCTTTTCCCGGAGCAGTTGCACTCTCAGGTCACAGATGGCAGCTCCCAACAGGTGGCTGGGGGGGACTGGAGCACCTTGGTTTTGTTTTTTTTCCTCTTCCAAAGTGAAAAGAGCAGTGGGTGGGACATGACAGAAAACTGCTGAGCTGTTAAAATAACCCCTCTCTTCCTCAGTCTATCTCAGCACAGGATGAAAACCTCTCCAAGACGATGTTTTTGCCACTTGCTGAGAGAATGGTGGAAAAAATGGTGAAAGAGGACAAGATTGAAGCTGAGGCTGAAGTAAGGCTTGGTTTGAACTTTGAGACAAGGAATGCAGTCTTGAGGGAACTTGATTATCTTGGAAAACTTAAAATAATCAACAATGTTTTGGAATTAAATATAAATGTTGGGGACAGAAGGAAAACCAAAAGCAGGGGGTTAGGAGAGCCTCAGAATCCTGTGGCTGAGGCAATTTGTAGTGTTTGATTTGACTGATGAAGTGCTTTGCTCTTTGGGAGGCCCCAAGAAAAACCTGAGGACTAAGAATGGAAAAAAAGACCTAAATCTGAGTATTGCACCCTTTGGAATAATAAAGATAGCTTTGCAGGCCTGGTATCCCCTAGTTTCTCTTTTGGCACACCTGGATGTGATCTTCCTGGCAAATTTCATTGCAGTCTAATTTTTCTTTTAAGGTGGAACTGTACTACATGATCCTGGAACGTTTGGAGAAATACAAGGAAGCCTTAGATGTTGTGAGGGGAAAACTTGGAGGTAATTTATTCTTTAATAAATCAAGAGTTGTGTGGAGAATATGTATCAGGTCCCCTTTGTTTGAGACTTATCCACTGTTTCAAAAAAGGAAAAATAATTAAGGGAGCCTGACTTAACACCAGTTTTAACCTCAGTGTAAACCCTGGAGGTGTTTTTGCAGCCTGGTTTTGCCTACTTTGTTGATGATATTTAAACACTGTTCAGGTCTGAGCTTTGCAGTGGTAAATTGGGATCATGTTCTTGGTTGTAGCTGCCATCTTCAAAACTGAAAAGTCTTCAATATCTGCATTTTAGAGGAGTTTAAGTGAAGATTGAAATGCACTTGGAATTGGGATGTGAAGAGTTTCCATGGGAAATCTTCCTGCAGGCTGCTGCTGCATTAGACCTGGTGTTTTGGTGCTGGGCTGGAATGAGAAGGTTTAAGCAGGGAACAGGGAAGAAATGCAGGGATGAGCTGAGCTTTCCATGTGTTTTTGCTGCAGAGAAGCTGACGAGTGAGCTGCAGAGCCGGGAGAACAAGTGCATGGCCATGTACAAGAAGCTGCACAGGTGGCCCGAGTGCAACGCGCTGGCCCGGAGGCTGCTGCTCAAAAAGTGAGAAAGGATTCCTGCAGTCCTGCAAAAAAGATGGAACAAAAATCCCTGCTTGTTTGGGAATGGCCTTGTTTGGTAGCTTTTGTGGTTAAAATAGGAGAATATCAGGAAGGTTCTCCAAAGCCAAGCGTGGTGAAGGTCACAGGGAGAGTCAGGGTCAGGACTGGAGTTGCTGCTTTTTTCAGGCAGAATTTAGCAGCACATCAGTGCAATAAAAGGTTGTTTACCTCCTTATTTCTAAATTCTGTGCTAACTGTCTAGCTCTGACTTTGCAGTTCTCATCCTGTCCATGATTTTACATTAAATTTTCTACATCTAGATTTCTCCCATTTGGCCAGACTTCCTTGTGGGAAATGCATGCTTGGAACAGATGCATCAGGAGACAGAACATTCCAGTGGGATCAAATCTGTCTCAGAACTGTCAGGAGAGATCTGGTGTTTGCTTTTGAATTTAGCTGTACTCTCATCTTAGATATAAGTTAAATGGAGAAGGGAAACTTCTGCCTTCACGTTTTGAGAGGATGTTGCTGAGCTCTGACTGGAATGTGAATTTTAGAAGGGGAGTTCATAGCTTGCCTCAGTTTTGAATTGAAATGATTTTGCTTAATAAGTTTCCAGAAATTCAGGATGATGATGTTCCTAAGATTTGAGACCTTTTCAACAGGAAACAATTTCATGATTACAGTTGGATTTTTTTCTGTGATACGATTATGTGTTATTCCTCAATTCAGCTTTGGCAAGAAATATAGTTTTAACTGTTAACTATTTTGGCAATTCCCTAAACTTTGTCCTGTGCCTGATTTTTGTTTCAGCTCAGATGATTGGCAGTTTTATATAACTTACTTTGATTCAGTGTTTCAACTCATTGATGAATCCTGGACTCCTCCAGCAGAGGAAGAGCAGTAAGTTGAGAATTTTACTGTGGATTTGTTTTCCCTTTGTGCTGCAGCAAACTGTTTGGGTTCATATGATCAATATTAGAGTGACTTCTTGATGTCAGAACCCAAATGATGTGTGTTCCCTGCTTTGTTTTTTGTTTTTTCTGCTTTAATCTGGAGGCTGGGAACAGTTTATGGAAATTGTAATAGAAGAGTTATAGAACTCTTCCAGCTCAATGTTTTCTGTGATGACTGAGTTGGAGAATCCATCGTTTCCCTGTCCTGGGAGTGTGCTGAGTGTGTGTTATCAGTGGGAACTCTCCAAGAACCTTTTGTCTGTGTGGTTGCAGCTCTCTGGAAGGGGAGGTGCACTGCTCCATCGAGCAGGCTGTGAACTTCATCGAGGAGAGGATAACAGAGGAATCCAAGAGCTCCCGGCCACTGCGGGGACCGTACTTGGCCAAACTGGAGCTGATCAGGCGCCTGCGACACAGGGGCTGCAATGATGAGTACAAACTGGGTAAGAGCCCCTCCTGAGTGAGGAATTCATCCATGGAGAGAGGGAGAGAGAACACAAACTTTCTGCTAAATCACTGAGCTAAATGGATTCTTCATTAGGAAAAAATAACTGTTCTGTATGTAAAGAATTTTAAAAGCGTTGGAAGATGAACTTTGAAGAAAGGCAGGTATTTTCAGATTATATTTCCAGACTACTGCAGAGCTTGGAAAAGCCAGCAGGGAGGTTTTCAAAAGGGCCTCAGGGATTTAGGAGCATTCAGTCACTGACACTGTGTTCCTGATGGAAATCTTCCTGCTACCATTGAAATCTCAGAGTGGGTTTTGATTTAAGTTTTTATGGCAGCAAGGCCAGGTTTTGCTTTTTAAAAAACTGCATCACAAAATGGCATTTAGGGACTCAATGAAAGGGAATGTGATTAGAGCAACATCTGTGCCATTTCCTAATTCCTTTTGTTTTCCCATCCCAAAAGAAGCCATGGTGAGATAAGCAGAGGTTGCGTGTGCCTGCCTGGATTGCTGAGCTCTTATCTGCTAAAGGAGCTTGAATGAAGCTTTTGGGCTTTTTTTAATGTGTCCTTGGTTACCAGAGACATTGAGCCTCTGTTACAATCTGCAGTAGTGCAGCTCTCTGTTTCCTAAATCGCTCTGTAATCCTGAAGGGGGGGTGGAAAAAAAGCGTGAACAAAGATTTCTCATAGTGATTTTACAGATTTCACTTCTGCTGGAGGGTGTTAAAAAGCTGACCTGTTTTTTTTCCTAGGTGATCCAGAAGAACTAATGTTCCAGTACTTCAAAAAATTTGGGGACAAGCCCTGCTGTTTTACTGATCTCAAAGTGTTTGTGGATCTCCTCCCACCCAGCCAGTACACAAAGGTAAGGAAATATCAAGAAGTGGTGGCAGGAACTGCAGTGGTTGTTTCCATTCTGGCTCCTTTATCTTCAAATACCCATGGATCATATTAAAAGACTGGGAACATAAAATTTTTACTTTCTGCTTGAAAATCAGAGAACTCTTTGTGCTGTAAGAAATACCATGAACATCTGAACACTTGAGAAGTTTCATTCAGAGGATTTTTACTGGAGGTTTAAAGCTAAGTTTGATCTTACAGAGTCTCAGATCTGGTATTCCTTTGGCATTTTTATTCCCATTTTTCAAGGTGTCAGGGTGCTTTGAGCTCAAAGGTTCTGTTTAATGGGAAGAAGCTGCCCCCTGATCTCCTGCAGGGATGTCACAGATGCGTTGCATGGCTCTGGCAGTGCCAAAGAAGGGACACTTTGACCCCAATCCAGGGGTCGTGGAGGCACCTATGGCAGTTTTTTCCAGAATCTCTTTCTGAAACAACTCTCTGAAAAAAGAGTTTCTCTGAAAAGCCCATTTGTGCAGAGTCATGAACTGCCCAGAGTGATTTCAACAGCTGGGAATTCTGTCACTCACCCCAGTGTTTGTCTGAGCCATTGTATCCAGGGATCAGCACTGGGCAGGGCAGAGAATCCGGGATCAGCCAGAGCCTGGGGATAAAATGTTGGTAAACAAAGTGTAGGTAGTGAGGTTCTCAAAATGCACAAAAGTGTTTTTGATTCATGATGCAAGCTCTTCCCTCAGCCCCACTGCTGATGAGAGCAGGGGCTGTGGCAGGGCTGGCTGTTGCTGATGTTTTATGTTTAAAGGTGTGGTTTTAGTCCACTGGCAAGAGATTTGGCCAGCAGGATATTGAACTCCTAGTCCTGGAAATGGTGATTACATTGTAAGGGAGCCCTAAAGTACTGAAGAGGTTTCATCCTAACTTTGCAGAAAACAAATTGAAAACCAGGAGTGGAAAATTACATTTAATAATAGTTCAGACTCCAGTTTTGTCACAGTGTTTGTAAAACCATGAGTCTGACTTCAAAATTTTTTGTCTGGCCTTAAAACTGCTGCTGATTTACTGACGATATTCTGGAATATATATTGTGTCAGACTGATGTATTGGGTGGTTTTCTGGCTCTCCCTGAAGCAGCACCTGCAGCAGTTTAACTTGGTCAAGGACACGAGGAGCTGGGGAGGTTTCATGGTGCTGAAGTGCTGATGAGTTTTCCACTTCAGTAGCTGAGATCGCGATCTTGCTGGGCCGCTGACACGTGAGATAGCCCAGAAATAATGGTCATGACACCAACCTTGACTTCCTAGAGGTGTAAAATTGGAGGGCAGAACCAATGGTGTGGTTGACCTTGCTCAGCTTGGCAGAGTTTCAAACTGAAAAGATCTGTCAACACAGAATTCATCAAATTCTTCGGGAAAACTGGAATTGGTGTGTGTTGTGCTTGCTGTTCCTGAGCTTTTTGCCTCGGGCTTGCATTCAGTGCAGTTCTTCTGTGTCAATACCAAGTGTAGTAAAACTGAATTCATTGGCTTTAACTCAGATTTAAGTTTGCAGACAATGTTGGGTTTCAGAGCAAGAAGCTGCTGCCCAGCCCTGTGTGTTGTGAGGAGTCTTTTGTCTCCCGTTAAAACTAAACAATGAGAAGCTGCTTTTCTTAATTCCAAAAAGAAGTCATTAATCAGAGTTGATGACCTCACTGAGTGCTGCACATTACTTCAGAGCTGAGGGAAAATGTAACAGTGCAAAACCATCATTGCCTGGAAGTGTGCTGAGAAGCCTGTCAGTAACTAATTATTTTAATTGCATCTCTTATTACCATGAGTGTTAACAGGTGCTTGAACTCCCTGGTGTATCAATGAATTGGAAACCTGCCCCTTATTCTTCTTCCCTGCATCTGTTTGATGAAACTTAATAAAACCTCGAGTGACTCAAAAGAAACCTGAGCCACTCAAAAAATAAATAAATCTCAAAGGCTGCTCTTGATCCACAGGTTGTGTGACATCAACACAGATATTTCCACCTTGATTTTTTTGTTTGTTTGTTTGATTGGAGGGGGGAATTGATGCTTCCTCCCCATTTGGTGCAGCCCTGCAGCCTTTGCAACCGTGGTTTCTCTTGCAGTTCATCCGGCAGCTGCTGGACGTGATCCCGCTGGCGGCGGCGGCCGAGAACGAGGTGGCTCTGCCGGGTGACATCAAGGCCCTGCAGCAGCACCTGTGTGTGGTGCAGCTCTCCAGGCTGCTGGGGATCTACCACAGCATGGAGAAGAAGCAGAAGCTGGCAGTGGTGCGGGAGCTGATGCTGAGATACCGCCACGGGTTGGAGTTCGGTGAGGAAAATCTGATGAAAACTTGGCTTTCTCCTTTCTGATTCTACCCTGCACCTTCCCTGAACTGTGGCTCCTTTTATTTTTTTCCTTTTCAGCCATGTTTCTGAAAGATAAATGAGGTTTTCTTGGGAGTTCAGATGTTCTGTTTGTCCTTTGCTGGCTTTAAAGCAAAGCCAGGTTTTCTCACTGAAGTGCCTAGGACACATTTGTGGTTAGGAGTTATTAATTTGTAAATCTTGCAGCTGAGGGAGTCATTTCTTCTTACACCAGATGTCAATGTTTGAAGTGCCCCAAAGGCCACTCAGTGATGTGTAAAGTTGTTTGGATTTTAAGACAATTCTGACTTTATAAATTAAACTGGTTCTCTCTCTCAGTAACCCTGACTGTGAGATCAGCTGGCAGCACTGTTAGTAATTCAAGGGTAACTGGGTTTTTTTTCTCTTTTTAGGGAAATCTTGTTTGAAAACTGAATTGCAGTTTTCAGATTATTACTGCCTGCTTGCAGTTCACCTGCTGCTTGATCTGTGGCTGGAAGGTACGTTCCCAAAATTGTGCCTTGCACTAAAATCTCTGTAGGAGGTTGGGAAAGGGAGCCTGTCCCTGTGGCCAGAGAGTGCTTGTCCTGGCTTGTGAGGCCTGGGGCTTTCTGGGTTGTTTTATTTTTGCAATATCAGGTATTTCAGGAGTCCCTCTGATCAGCTGGTGTTTATCCTGAATCTCACCGACCTCTAAACAGATTTAATTTTTCTGATTAATTCCTTTTTTCTCTCCCTTTGCATGAGTTCTGCTGACAACTCCTTTCTGATAGCAGAAGTGTTTAGAGAGCGTTCCTTTCTCTTCCTGACATACTCTGCCTTTTGGATTCCTTGTTTCTAGACTTGCTGGGACCTGTTCCCTGAAATAAATCTGCCTGTACTCCACCCCTGCTCCTTATGTTAGTCTCTTAATCCCACAGTGTCCAGTGCTGGGTGTCCATGTGTATATTCCTGCCCTTCTGTGTTGTTATCTCTTACACCCTTGTCCTTCCCAAGGAAGATTTAGTCTTTAACCTGAGTAAATCCATGGTCAGCTTTCTGGCAGGAAAGTGGATGTGGGCTCTTGAATTCCTGGCTCTTTTGCAATGTGCAAGCTGGAATTCCCAAGCAGCCCAGGATTCATCAGGGAAAGTCACTTTTCCTGCAGTTTGCTCTGTGCAGATGTGAGCTGGCTATTCCCTGGGAGGGATTATTCCCCCAGGGAGCAGCTGGAGTGCTGGAGCAGGTGTTAGGTTGGGCCATCTGCAAAGTGCAATCCCTGGCAGCGCTCTGAGTGTTGCGTAACGTGGGGAGAGGGAATTGTGCCTGTCCCTGCTCACACCTGCCCGTGCTGTGTCTGTCACCAGGTGAAGAGGCGGCCGTGTGGCAGTGCCTGACTCTCCTGGAGGAAGGGCTGTCTCACAGTCCCTCCAATGCTCAGTTTAAGCTGCTGCTCATCCGGATCTACTGCCGGCTCGGCGCCTTTGAACCCGTCTCGGAGCTCTACTCCAGCCTCGACGCCAAGCACATCCAGCACGACACCATCGGGTGGGTGGTACATACTGAGAATAATCAGTCCTGCTCAGCCCCCATCCTGACAGCTTCAGCTTCCTTTGCCACCCAGAATTCAGCAGATTGACACATTTTCACGTGCTGTTGTGCAAAAGTGTTCTGGGACTTTTGGGAGGCACACCCACAGCACGCTCCTCCTTTTTATGGAGTGTCTTCTCTGTGTGATTTTGATCTGTGTTGGATTTTTTTAGAGTATTAATTAATCTGAAGGAAATTGGTGAAATGGCTGGCTGGCTGCCAGTCAGAGCTTGTTGTTCCAGCTTGAGAGCACCAGTGAAAGCCAACACACCCAAAGCCCTTGGCTGGTGTGTTTGGGGGTCTCTCACTGAGCAGCTTGTGCACCCTTAAGGTGAAAAAAGAACTCCAAGCCCTCACATACCGCTTTTAAAAAATTGAGAATTCATTCCACTAAAAGCCTGAACTTGCCCATGAAGGCTGTTAATGCTGTTAAGTGTCCAGATGTCTCCTGTGCAGCTGCCTCCCAGGGCAGTGGCTGACGTTTGCCTGGTGCTGTTTGTTGCAGTTATCTCCTGACGCGCTACGCCGGCTCCCTGGGCCACTACGCTGCTGCTTCCCAATCCTGCAACTTTGCACTCAGGTTTTTCCACTCCAACCAGAAAGATGTAAGTTGAAAGAAACCTCCCCCCACCACAACCTTGTAACACAGCAAAGTGTCTTAGAGAAGCCCTGTGCAAGGCTTGTGCAAATGTAGGGGTTTAAAACCTAACAAAGAGCAGTAGTAGGTGCAGCTTTGTAGCAAAGGTTGTCTCAAGCTGCATTTTCTACTGCAAGGATTTGTGAGTTACTATTACATGAGCTTCAGCTTCCTTTCTGTTAATCTTTTAAGTTTTAATGCTCCTCTTAAAACAGGTATGATTGCTTTTAAATTAATGTTCATGATTTTATGCAAGAATAGAAGTGGAATGTCATGTGGAAATAAGTGCTGGTGTCATAAATCTGGCATTTTGGAAAGTTACAGAGCACACGAGGAATCCTTTATGTTATAATCACTGGAGCTGTGTGTTTTCAGTGGATGGTGAGGGGTGAACTTCACTTGAAAGGGACCATCCCATTCTGAGGAATGGGAATATATCCTGTGTATTTGTATTTCACGCCCTGGACACTGTTAAGAGGTAGATGAAGATTATTTTTACTTCCTAAGAAACAAAGGTGCAATCCATTTGTAAATCTGCCAGTCAGCCACTGGCTAAGTTGGCTCCAGAGGCTGTGCAGTGCCACAGTTTGCTTTCCCACTATCCCAGCAATAGACAAAAACATGGGAATTGTCTGTACTGAGCAGCAAAGATTCTCACACAGAATCCACTCAGAAGCAGCAGCTTGCTCTGTTGGCAGCCCAGCTGGTTCCTGGGTACAGGATTCCCGTTGCCATTTCCCTGTGCCTGGAGTGTAGGTGCTGAGTTCCTGTGAGCTGTGTCTGACACGGAGATTTTCCTGAGGGATGCACATGGATTATTCAATGGGATGGGAGCTCACTCTGCTCTGCATCCCTCAGTTACTCATTTTTTTTTCCTGCTTGGTAAGAGGCTTTGGATTCCTGGGAGTGAAGCCCTGGATCCAGGGCTGGAGTCACCTGGTTTTTTTATTGAGGTGTAGCTTTTCAGTCTTGTTTAAAAGCCGTTTGGTGGATGTTAATGCAAAACATCCCTGGAACCAACTGTCTGAATAAAACCCACGACTGCTGGGCACCAGGTGGAAAAGTGAACTGAAAAAAACTTCTGGATGTTATTTCTCTGCTTGGGAACACTGTGTTGTAAAGCATCAAGAAATCATCTTTCCATGGAAAACAATCTGAAGTAATTGAGGTGTGGTTCCCTTGGGAGCAGGTTATTCTCTGTGGCATGAATGATATTCCTTGTGGCAGAGGAGAGCTGGATGTCTCCAGTGGCTCGGCGTCTCTACCTGGATGGTGATGGCTGCATTCCAGGTGCTTGTTGGCAGGAGAACACAACTTGTGTTCCAGAAATCCCAGAAAAGGTGTTGCCTTGCTGCTACACCTAAAAATGTTGGGATTTCAAGAGGCCAGAAGTGGTGCAGCAGGAGGACAGAATTCCTCATGTGACAAGATGAGGATGGGACTCTGGAACCACCCACATCGTATCTTGGAGATGGTGTTGCAGCCAAAGGAGCTGATGTTGCTCAGAGGTCTCCAAATCTCTCCTGTGCTCTGGGCTCTCCCAGTGGTTGTCTCCTGAATATCCTTTTGATGGGATAAGCCTCAGAAGCTGCTGTTACAGCCAGGAATGGCAGGAGGTGAAGGCTCAGTTCAGGGTGCTGTTCCCTGGGGATGATGGTGTGACCAGAGTGGGGTTGAGGAAGGATTCCTTGCCATAAAACATGTCGCAAGGTCAGCATCTGCTCCCAGTTCCTGTGGTTCTGCTGGGGCTGGCCCTTTATCCTCAGGGTGCTTGGAGCAGCTCCCACTCAAGCCCCAGAACCACATCTGCAGTGTTAAAGGGGGGCCTATTCTTTAAAAGTTCCCTTTTACAGATTTCTGGTGCCGCCTGCTCCTCCCTAGGTTGTTGCTGAGATAGCTGGAATGTCACAGCACAGAGCTGTGTGTGGGACTCTGCCTGGAGCAGGAAGTGTGGGATGTAAACTGAGTCTGGCATAAAAATAGAGCTCCTGAATCAGACTTCTTGCTTTGGATAAATCCAAAATTCTCCTGACTTGCTGAACTTCCCAGTCTGACGTGAATCCTGTGTCAGAGTGATCCCATGAGTAACAGCCACATAGGAGCTGCAATCCTGCCACTATTCCTGCTCTGGGAGAGGATGCCAAGGCCAGGGAGGAGAGAGAAGGCAGCATTGCTATATTTGGCCAAAACAAAAAGGCAACTTTATCCTCCTCGAGATAGTCCTCCTTCAGCTATGCAGAATCACCAGTAATCTCTCTAATTTTCTTGTGTCCATCCATCTTTAATCTCTCCAGATACTGCAGGCAAACCACTCCAACGTGTCCTGGGGGGATTTAAAAACCACGTGGATGCAGTTGAATTAGAGCCCATAGCCCAGTCCCTGACAGTCACCTCTACAAGGCTGTTGATCAGAGGGTATGTTGTTGAATATTTGGCATATTTTTTTCATTCAGTGCAAATAACCAAATTACTTAGGGGGAGAAAAAATAAAGACAACTCCCTAGAGGACATTTCTTGGTTCGGAGAGGAAAAAAAATGGTGTTTTGGATCTGTGAGTGTTGCCTTCTGGTCTCTCAGAGCCTTCCAGACAGATTGAGCCAGTTAGGACCATATAGAATTCAGTTAAGCAGAAGCCTTTTTTGATGCCTCTCATCTTCAGTGCAGTTCATAACCTTGTTCAGAAGAAAATAGTTGATTTGCCAGAATTTCTCAGTTGTGGAGTAATTCTGATGTAAAAACTCAGCTATCACTGGGAGCAGAAATAGTTCACTCTGTGTCGACAGACATTTTCATTGAAACACTGCTTGTCTGGGGCTCCTTCATCATAAAAATCTCTTTTTTTGGAGATTGCTTGGACTGAATATATTGGCTGCCTGCCTTGTATTGCTGCATTTCATCAGAGAGAAAGCAAAATATCCCATGGACCCCGAGAGTTTCCTGTGGTGTTTGTGTTGTGCCATGTACACACTATGTGATACTGTATTCAAAACTCTAATAAAAAAGAGAAACCAAAAATGTGTGAGTAATTTTTATTTTTTTAAAATCCATGTTGTGATAATAAGTGATGCACATCCAGCTCAGTTCCAGAAAATCCAGGCTATATTTCTTTTGCCTGGAATTATTTCTCACGATGAAATGACGATTTAATGATTTCAATCGTGCATCTAAAAGGAAAAGGAAAAAGAGCCTTCCAAAAGCATTTATTTTCTGTGAAGTGTTTTTCATTGTGGTGACAACAACATATTTAGTGTTGGTTTGGTTGTTAAACCTCACTGCCATGGAGCATTCCCAATTTAAAGTAGCAAAACTGCTCGGGTGACTTGGAGAAGCAGAAGTGCAAACTCCTCCCAGGGATTGAGAATCCACCAGGTCTTGCACCTCTGGGCTCAAAAAACCACGGAAACACAGTGACCTTGTTGGTTGTTCCTAATTTGGGAAGTCCCTAACGAGAACTGCTGTGTGTTGTGTTACAGACCTCAGAATACATCATCCAAGCCTACAAGTACGGGGCGTTCGAGAAGATCCCGGAATTCATCGCGTTCAGGAACAGGCTGAACTCTTCCCTTCACTTCGCGCAGGTTCGCACCGAGAGGATGTTGTTGGACCTCTTACTTGAAGCAAATATGTGAGTACAGCTCCTGCCATGGGGAAAACTGTGATCGGGCCAAGAGAGGCCTTGGGGAGTTGAACCTGCAGGAATCTCAGAGCTGCAGCTCTGGCCCTGAAGTTTCTTTCTGCTTTTAATGGTCTCAGGTTTAAAAGGTTTTTAAAAAATTCCTTCCTGGAAAGGGTTGTCAGGTACTGGAATAGGCTGCCCAGGGAAGCAGTGGAGTCACCATGCCTGGAAGTGTTCAGAAAATGTGGGAGGGCACTGAGGTCATGGTTTAGTGGTGACCATGCTGGTGATGCTGCATTGATGGTTGGACTTGGTGATCTTAAAGGATTTTTCCAGCTTTCAGGGTTCTGCGATTCTGATTTTGCTGTCCCTTCACATCCTTGCCAGTGCTGTGTGTGTCACACTCCTGACAGAGGGAAGAGCTCAGCAGTGCACAGAACATGTTCTGTTAGTGAGCTGTTTTCCCTTTGCAGCGATCAGATATTTGATTTGCTGCTGCTTGTTCTTACCTACAGATCAACCAGTTTAGAAGAAAGTATAAAGTCCATGAGTCTGAGCCCAGAGGAGGATGACATTCCATGGAAAGATCTGCGTGACAACAGAGATCTGACAGTCTTGTTTAGCTGGGATCCAAAGGACAGGTGAGTAGAAATATCGTCAACTCACACATAGCAAAGAAATTCCTTCCAGGGCAATTCCCATATTTCAGTGTTCCTTGGGCTGCCTTAAGCACCACCCACCACATCTGGCAGTGCTGCCCTTCTAGCTTGAAAGTTCTCTGAATTTCTGACCACTCATTCCTTGTCATACAGAACTGGGGAGCTTTGGGTAGGCTTTTATGCCTGGAGAATTTGCCTGAAGGGTTTTGGTGCCTTTCTCCAGGGACATTTCTGAGGAGCATCGGAAGCTCTCCCTGGAGGAGGAAACTCTGTGGTTGCGAATCCGGTCTTTAACGTTGCGGCTGGTGAGCGGACTCCCAACTCTTGGCCACACCATCCAACCAAAGAATTCTGAAAAGACTGCAGAGAACGGTGTCTCATCCAAGATTGACACAATCCGAGCCCTGCTGCAGCAGCTGGAAGCGGCGGTGGATTCGGGGAAGAAGTTTCTAGAACAAAAAATCCAGGTACCAGTTAAGCAAAAGCTCTCCCCCAAATGTTGACCGTGGAATGCATCGTGCAGGCTGCAGAGTGCACTTAACTGCCCCTGGGTTTGTGGTGTGTGACTGACTGGGAGATGTGCCAGGCACTGGGTGGGATGAGGAAAAGCTGCAACACCTTTATCTTTTTCTTTGCTTCTTGCCTAGTATCCTGTCCTTGGCCCTCCTCCTACCCGAATGGCTGGCTTCTTCAGCAATGGCAGCTGTCAGTGCCAGACTAGCTTGTTTTATCTTGTTAGTGATATTTATGAACTAGATACCAATGGCTTAGGTAAGTGTTTGGGGCAGGGGTTTGACCACGTTGATGTGGTGCGTGGTGGGAGGGAGCCACATGTCTCTGTTTAGTCTGAAGGCTGCTGGGCGTTGGAGGATGTGGACTCAAAACTGTTACTTGTGTGTAAATTTTCTGTCTGATGCTAAATTATCTGAGAGCCAGTGCCTTTATTTAATGTTTTATGTAAGTCTTCATTTTTCTACAGTATATGGTGCTGTAATACTGGCTGCTCCTTGAAAGCAGTTGCATTTACCTTTGAGTACTGACACTAAATTGCATTTAAATGCCTCTTGGTTTTCTGGAAGCAGAAAATAACAGAAGTTTGTAACTTATAATTTTTTCTTTTTTTTTCTTTTTTTTTTCTTTTTTTCTAGAAGACTCAGCAGAAATCCAGGAGAGAATAGGGAATAGTTTCAAGTCTTTAGTAGAACGACTGACAGGTAAATGGTAACTCAAGAGCAGACACTAAGGCAGAGCTGGCTGTCTGAGGATGGCTGTGGAGTGTCTGCAGGGATGGGCTGTGATGATGCATCTGCAGGCCCTGTGAAAGCTTGAGAACAAGGCTGGGATTGCCCTTGGCTTGTGTGCTGGAGCTGTTGCATGCTCAGAACGTGCTGTGCCCTTCAGTGCATTTATCTCCCAGCCTGGGCAGCTCCTTCTCCTGGTGCTTGGGTCGGGGGGGGCTCATCGGGGGTGTGGAAATGTTTGTAATGAGCCAGAACTCAGAGGAGATGGAAAGGACTCATTATCTCAGTGGTCAGTGCCCTGACAGTTCTGCACGCTACACTCACATACCTGGTGTACAGAAAACGCACATTTAAGGTGATCTTCATCCTCAAGTAAGGATTTTCTTTTTTCTTTTCAGATTTGTTCAATAAATGTAAAGGTGATTTGATTGAAGTCAGAGATGGCACCTTGAAAACTCATCCAAACCTGTTAGAAAACTTAGTCTTCTTTGTTGAGGTATTTTTTTTTCCTTTGAAAACTAGAAAATCTGGAGTACTGTGGAGTAGAAATGTTGGGACTGAAACACAGTGAAAGTTTGATCTCAGTCACTCATGAGAACTCAAGAGAGATTTTGTTGCTTATTTTAATCATGCTGAGTTTTACCAGGAACACTGAAATAAGAGGCCTCCTGTGAATGCAACTTAGAGCATATTTTTACCTTTCTTCCAGACGATCTCCATTGCCCTGTGGGTATCGAGTTACTGTGACAGTGTCCTCCGACCTTTTAAATCCAACCTGCAAAAAAAGAAGAAGAAAAAAAAAGAAAGCAGTGTAGCAATGGTACAAACAATATTTTTTTTCTCTTTTCCCCCACCCCTAATCACAGCTTATTTATACTGAAAGAAAAACCAGGATAGATAGCATGAACATGAACTGGTTTTCATAAACTTGTGGAGGTTGATGTGGGTAATGATTACTTGAGGTTAATTTTTGCTGTTTAAAATCAGTGTTGTGTCATATTTGTGACATCATGTGATGGTTTTTAAATGAGAAATACAGTTTAGAGTGTCATTGACCTTCCTGCCTGCAATGCACCACAGTAAACTTGTCAGCTGGGAGTGTTTATCTGGGTAGATAAATTATAGCTTAGCACTGGTGGGAAGAAGAGAATTATATATGACAAAGTGAGTTATATAAAATGGACATTAATATGTGTTTATAAATTCAAGACCTGTGTTTGTTTTTGTAGCCACCTGTATTTACCCATTTCCTGGATTATGTAACTGAACTCCAGACATTAACTTCCAATGTAATAGATCACATCAAAGGGCTTGAAATCATTCTGACTGCACTAAAACTTGAAGAGCTGTCCCTCAAGGACACTCTGCTTTTACAGGTAAGACATTCCCTGTGCAAACACTCAGGAATTTCTTTTTGGTGTTTGAGATGTTGGAGAAAGTGTAAAAGGGGAGGATTTAAACAGTTGCTGTGGAGTGAGTGATTTCTCTTTTGCACTTTGCAGGAAGAAAAAAAGTTTACAAAGACTGTGCAAGGGAAGGTCCAGAGCAGTTACCATCACTCAGTTCAGGAAATTGGAGAGCTGCTGAAAAAGAGACTCGATACCATTAAAAAACTAAAGATTTGAGCAATGCATCACTGACAGACTCCACAAGGGAGTGATACCAGAGTCCCAGACAGAAGCAACATCCACTCTACCATCACTTTAATCCAGAACTTCCTCATAATGCATGAAGGACTTTAAATCATGAAACAATTTTTTTTAGGTATTACAGATGTATTGAGCTGATTTAAATTATTGTACATAAAAGAAGCAGGGACCCTTCCTAGGGTTTGACCACTTTTTATACATGTTCATAAACATATTGCAACAGGAGAAAATTCACTTTCTTCCCTTTTGATCTCTAGAACCAGCTGGAGATGGTCTTTAGAAGCAGCAATAGCAATCCAGTGTAAAGCATCTATCTCCAAGGATATTTTCATCACCATACAGTGTTTATAATTTTTGTATGGGCCTTGCCTTAAAAGTGCAGGAATTGTAGATGTCCTCATTCAGCCGCCTCTGATGAACTGAGCCCGGCTTGGAGCTGCCTGTTTTGTCTGCAAACCACCTGGTCCTGCTGACAGAATTCCATGTGTTGGTCCATCAGGGAGAGGTGAGGCCTCCGTGGTGGGCTGGGAATCATCCGGAGCTGGGGCAGGATCCTCCAGGAGTGAGCAGGAGGGAGGAGGTGTCTGTGCACAACTCGGGAAAACTGCAAATGTGATGAGGAGCAAACTTCAGAGAGAGAGAGAAGGGAATGGGAATGTGAATGGGAATGTGTGTTTCAGAAAAAAAAAAGACAAAACAAGAGACCTTGTAAATAATGGCTGCAGTGAAGTGTGACACTGCACTGGTATCATGTCAGTTTAATGTCAAACAGCAACGTCATGACTTTTAAAAAGTGTATTTAGATTACTGAAACTTTAAGACTTCAATATTTTAATAGAAATGGAATCCTATTGGCTTTGGTTTTAAGTTGGCAGAGGTAACTTTTGCTTCCGCTGTGGTCTGAGGCCGAGATCCTTTTTGTACCTGTGCGCTTGCTTTTTGCAGTTGAACTTTGATTATCCAAGCACTGGCTCATGAAGCTTTCTGTTGGAAAGTGTGACCATATCATCTGCTCCCACAGAATCTGCATTTCTGCTGGGTTTTTTTCATGTTCAAAAAGCAATGCAGCCTAAAATTGATAGGCAAAAAACCAGTTTATGTACCTGCAATACAAGGGACAGGTCAGACCAAACAGATTCCTCATCTCCTGGTTTAGAACCGCAGTATCCGAGTCTAGATTTAAAGTTTGAAGAGAGCTTGACTGCCTTTGTCATCTCCTCTGTTTTGTTAGTAATGCTAGAATGTTAATGAGAGTATTTTTTTAATAAATCCCCTGTATTAAAAAAAAAAAAAAAAAAAGTCCCATAGCTGCTCTTGCTGGATTTAGTTTGGTTTTGCCCCATCCTGGAAGGGAAAGAGGAAGAATGTCTGCAGGTTGTCAAATTGTAAAGGATGTCCTGATGGTTGAATCAAAATGTCTGGTAAGTGCTCTGGGCTGGAGGAATACCAAAATGTGTTAAGTCTGTTTTATAGTAATACTTTGGCTGGGAAAAAAGAAAAAAAAAGAAAAAAACCAAACAGAACTGTCAAGTTGTATAGAAATATCATTTTTGAAAGAAGGGTGTGCTCCTTAAATTAAAGCAAGGCTGGTGACTGAAGGTGATGCTGTCAGGTGTGTAGGGTGAGTGAAAACCACCCCAGTGCTGTGGGGCAGTTCAGAGCAGCCCTGAGCCAGAAATGGGCACTGCCCTTCTCAGTCAGGGGGTGCAGTGGCACTGCTGCTGTCCCTCCCCTCTGATTGCAGAGGGCTTTGCACAAACACAGCAAAGGTGACACAGGGGACAGTCCCAGGGCAGATCCAGGTTGGCTTTCCTTCCACTGCTGCTACACCAGGTTGAACTCAGTCGTGTCAATAAGCAACGCTGATGATGTAAGTGAGGTTTAAGATTAGGAGAACCAAGCATTTAAAATCCTCCTGTGTGCCTGCAAGCAGAAGCTGGGTTAAAAAAAGGTTTCCTGCATCCCTTGAAAGCAGAACTGAAACTGGGGGGGGTGGGACTTGTGTCATCTGAGGCAGAGGCTGGGACAGGGTGGAACCATGGCTCGCTCACTTCCAGCACAGGGAATACTGACTGTTCTCAGTGCCAGCTGCTGCTCTCTTTCCACTTCCAGCCTCAGGGAATGACCTTGTCACACACAGAACTTTTGGATTACTTGGTGGTTTCTAAAAGCAGAGGCCGTCTCTTCCCAAGCTGTAGTTTCTCTAGGAGGAAACTGTGTACAAAAATGACTCTGTACTGACTGACTGGGGGCTTGGTTGAGGGAGGATTTCTCTCCCCCTATAAATTGTGTACAGTTAAATATATTATATATTTCTTACGAAAGAGCATTTCCCCTCCAGAATATGTCCCACACGGACCTGGTAAGAAATTCAAACTATAATCCATTGCTGCTGTTCCTCTTTTTTCCACTCTTAGGATTTGTTTTTGTTTGTTTTGGATTTTCTTTGGGTGATGAATTGAAAAACATACCTAGAAGAAGCTACCAAGACTACTGTTTACAGACTGAAAAATACTGCTTTTATACTACTGGGATCATGAGCCACGATCCTTTTACAGATTTCCTCAACTCCACTCGGCTTAAAATTGGTGTCTGATGTAGATAAAGGTTGGAAATCTCCTACCCTGCTTTGTCTACACACAGGACAAATTGTACAATGCTTGTTTGTGTTGTCCATCATTTTTGTACTTTTTAACTGTTCAGAAATTGCATTTATATTTTGCAATCCTTGATAATCATGACTTTATTTTAATGGTTAGTAAACTTAGGGATTTTTTTTTGTTGTATTTGCAGCCTTATCTGAACTTTCTCTTCCTTGATTATTGTTAATTTATGACTGTAGGAGATATGTACGCCTCAGCCTTCTACGGACTTAAGTGACACAACTGCAACTGAACTGCTTTAAACTGGATGGGTTTATAATTTATATAAAAGTCAGTTTCGTTACAAATCAGTATTGCTGCCTCATTTTTCTGCCTGGATGATCTGGATGGGATCAAAGTGCTCGTCTGCACTGTCTTTGTAAATCCCGTGCTGAAGCCAGATTATGCTGGTGCAGGACAAGCAGACCCTGCAGAGGAAGGACTGAAAAAGAGGGAAAATGCACATTGTTTTCCAGCTGGGGATTAAGTGCAGAATGCTGTCTGCTGGGGGAGGGAGTGTGGATGGGTCAGTGCTTTTACTTGATGAGCTGTCAGTCTGCTCTTTATGCGTTGCTTGCTTGCTTTTCATCCAGTCTTTCCACGCTAAGGACACGCCGTGTCCAAGTGCGGGCTGGTAGTGAATGAGATCTCCCCTGGCAGCACAAAAATCCATTGTGGCAGTGCCCACCTGGATTGAAGCGTTCACCCCACGGCTTTTCCGCCTGCTGCCCCGCACGGCCCGAACCTGCCTCCTGCCCTTTCTCTGCCTTCAGCTGTTCTGGCATTGCTGCTGGAAGCCGCTCTCTTATCCTCATTTCACCGGCACCAGCAGCGGCGCCGCGCGCTGTCCCGGGGGGCTCGGAGCTGTGCGCTCCGCTCGCTC